CCCTTTGTTGGCGTGAGTTCTTTCAGCTTCTGCCATGTTACTGTAGTTAATATTTTTCCTAAACTAATCGCATATCAGCAAATTTGTGAAAGGAAATTCAAAGTAAGTCACAGTTTGACAAATTATTGTTATTATTGACAAAGGCTATCTACCTGTAACTATCTGTTAATGACAAAAAACATCATTGCTGCTGTGCCGTTTCATCAAAAAATTGTAGAAGAGAACTTTTTTGATATGAAAAGTTTTCGTAATTTAAAGCAAATATCGTAATTTTTCGTTTTGAATGCTTAAGTATTCAAATAGGCTGCCAATCCAACGTGGGATTTTTTCAAAATAATTCTTAATAACAAAGTTAAAATTCGATCTTCAACTGTTATAATATTCTAGAAATTTTTGAAAAAAAAAATTTCAATATTTTTCTGGTACTCCCCAAGGGAGCCTCTATCACCCTTTAAAAGGAATGACGCTAATTTTGAATCACCTTGTATATTTCTGCTGTTTACTCGTAGAATGTTAAAATAGTAGTTTTCGATACAAGGGAGAAAAGTGTGTGTGCTCCTGATGGATTGACACCCGAGACGAAGTCGAGTTGCATTGTAGTTGGCCGGGTGTTGGCTCCGTCTTGGACATTATTTATTTCAGACAAATTTTCACAAAATTTCTTACTGCTAACTTATCTACGAGTACTTAATTCTAACATCTTTAGAGTGTTTTACACTCTGTGCACACTGACGTCCCTGGCTTAACCTACCTTAATCTACCCTAATCTACCCTAACCTAATGTGGGCGCATTACCCTAAGTTTAGACCTAAATCTAATACAACCTCTCTTGCTACCTAAGCTAACTTATAGCTAGTCCTGGTCCTCTAGGGACTCCATGACGGATATTTATAAACAATGTTAACAAATTAACAACTAACTTAATAATTGTACAAATGCCCTCTACCTTATTCTACTTAAAAAACTTAAGCCTACTACATCCCCTCTTGCTTCCTAAATCTAACCTAAAGTTAGCCCTTGGTCCTCGATGTGGTGCTGGAACTGGTCATCGCATGTGGTCCACGTCTTCTTCTTAAACAGGGAGAGGCCTGCGGTCACTGTGAAATTTGTTGGTGCAAGAAACCCGGACAGTGGGATTCTTGCTTTGCCGGGCATTATC